TGTGCAGATCAATCAAATCTGAAAACTCACATTAAATCTAAGCATGGTAGCAATTTACCATATAAATGTGAGCATTGTCCCCAAGCATTTGGTGATGAGAGAGAGCTTCAACGCCATCTAGATTTGTTTCAAGGACATAAGACTCACCAGTGTCCTCATTGTGACCATAAGAGCACCAACTCAAGTGACCTTAAGCGGCACATCATATCTGTCCATACCAAGGATTTTCCTCATAAATGTGAGGTCTGTGATAAAGGTTTCCATCGTCCTTCTGAGCTCAAAAAGCATAGTGATATCCATAAGGGTAGGAAGATTCATCAGTGTAGGCACTGTGACTTTAAAACCTCAGATCCATTTATCCTTAGTGGTCATATCCTTTCAGTTCATACTAAGGATCAGTCATTGAAGTGTAAAAGGTGCAAGAGAGGGTTCAGACAACAAAATGAGCTAAAAAAGCATATGAAGACCCATACTGGAAGAAAGATTTACCAATGTGAGTATTGTGAATACAGCACTACAGATGCCTCTGGCTTTAAACGACATGTGATATCAATACACACAAAAGACTATCCACACAGGTGTGAATTCTGCAAGAAGGGATTCCGAAGACCATCAGAAAAAAATCAGCATATTATGCGGCACCACAAGGACATTCTTATACAGTAAGATCAATATAAAGAAAAAAGGTTATTTAGAAAATACAAGATGCTATTTGGGAAGAAAATCTCACGCTTTCATCTGGTTTCAAATCTTGATATTAAACCATAACTTTACATTCTTTGTACTAAAGATCTTAAAATATTTGAATTGATGGGGAATGTTACAGCCCTTTGAAATTTACTTAAAGAATTTAACAAGCACCATAGAATGGTTGCAGAAAAACTTAAGTGTCTATTAATAGTATTATATGCATAATTAACCTACAGAGGGGAAAAGCAAAGACAAGTAGTTTATTTGGCTGATCCTATTAGAGACAAATGGTTCTGAAAAGAGAGTATGTAATTGAAGAGTTCAGCAATGCTTTGCTATAGCAAGCAAGCCTCACGTTTATGCAATTTTAGAAATGGGGTGGGGAAATAAAATTTAGTCATCCATCAGTCACTTAATCATAAAGCCTTTTATATTGTACCTGGAAATTTAATTCCAGAAATGGCAAAGGTTTTGTGTATTCATTAGCAGAAATTTCACTGGAAATAGGTTTGATGAATTCAGTACAATTTAGAAAAGAATTTCAGAGCTGCTAATATTTTATGAGAGGATAGAATGTTTAAAAATACCGCATTCTGTGCTGAATTCTAAGGTTAAGTCTAAAGATTGAAATTCCTTTTTTTCTGATTTTCAAGGTAACTGTTCAGTACCGCATATATGACAAAAATATATTTGAGTCAAATGTGGCTTTCTAAAATGGCTGCAACGTTAGTGTTGCAAACAAAATTAGCACTATATTTCTTATTAATCTAAAGATTAAATTGAGAGAACACAGTTTTCTTAAATATTATAATGTTTAGAGGTTTTTTTGTAGGACAGTCTTAGCAGGTAGGATTGTTCTAGTCTTACTTGCTCTAATGTTTAAAGGTGCAATTTTATGCCATTATTGAAAATTTGATTTTTAAAATCTATATATCATATTATTAACATGCATTTTCAATGAGGCAGTATTTATGCAGTATTTAACAGAACAGTATGCTGCCAATAGAGTTTGGAGGTGGATATTCAGTTTACAGTGTATAAATTTAAAATATGCATCCCTTTAACAACGCTTTGTGTTAGCATGCTGCAAATCAAAATGGCGCTTAATATTAAAAGCTGGTTTAGGGAAATTTAATGAATATCCTGTTCATAAATGTAATGCATATGATGTGTACTTTTAAGTTTTAGTTGCTTCATGTTTACATTCAGCTGTTCAACATACTTTAAATGTATTTTTAATTCATGCTATATATTGTGGCTTTGTGTTTCAGATAATGTTCACTTTTCTGTTTTTGCACCAGATAAGAATCAGTTTCTGAAGAATAAATTTTTTATCTTTCTTAACTTCAGAATATTAAATTTGGAAAATCAGCTAAAGTTGTGTGTTATGTGGCTGTAAATGATGTACACGCTGTAAAATAAGATTGTCACTGTTACGTGGGATTATTATTTCTAAATGTTACTCATTGAAATGAGCATACAATAAAAAGCATTTATTGCACTTCAAGGTTTTATGAGTTTGTTTAAAGTTGTGTTGTAATGTTCATTCTTTATTAAAAGACTTTCACTTAATTTTTTTCTTAGGCACTTTGGTTCTTCTTTTATTGTCTATATTGAATTATGTGCTTTACCTACAACGTACAAGCTAGGAATTGAGACAATTATGACACTAGCATTATTTACTCCTCAAGAATGTGTATAACATGCTAAAACTATGATGACATACTACAAATAAAGGCTCCCATTTTAAGAAAGGAGATATAGTATTGTTAAACATTATTGACCTAATAAATTACGCTGTCCTGAAAACTGAATACATCTGTTTATGTTCCAAATAGACATTCAAAAGTAATTATTTAACTATTTGGAAAAGTTTTCTGCAAGTGAATATAAAAATATTCAAGACAGTTAATAGAATTCATATACTTAAGCATGTTGCACTGTTAGTTAAGACTTGGTCAATTGTATTAATTATTCCTTATGAATCATTTTAAAAATGGAAAAAAATCTATTAGCCTCACATGTGAAACTACTGCTTCCAAAATTTATTATCTATAGTGTTCATCTAGGGAACTTGCTAAAATTCATGTCCTGATTCAGTAAGTGTGGGTCAAGGCCTACAAAAATTTCTGCATTTCTAGCAGCCTCCTGTGTATTGCCACCTTATGAGTAATAAGCTACTAGACAAAGGCACCCAGCAAAATTTTGTCACACTTTGGTGCATTTGCTTAAATAGATAGTTACAGGTGAGTGGATAGAAGCAATTCTTAGTGAAGACATGGCATTTTAACAGATGAGTGGCAAGAAGGACCCAGTCAAATGAAGATTGCCTGGAAGAGGAAGGCATAGAAATCTGCAAATACAAATAACTTGAGATGGAATAAACTTTAGGTAGACAATGTTAAATGAGAGGGAAGGATAAGAAATGAGACCTGTTTGGAATTTGAAGTGGGAAGCTACTGGAGGGGTTAAAAGAAGGGAATATTCTGAAATTCATTTGGAAGATCACTCTAAAGAATGTATAGAAGAGCTGAGGGAGACAGGCATGTTGAGACATTTTCCTAGTTGTTCATGGTTACAGTGGAACTAAAAAGTAGATGGGTATTCTACTTAACAAACTGCTTCAAAAATCTGATCTCGAGTAGGGATTCAGCCCATGTTACAAACAAAGATTGCCTTTATTTTTTATATTTTATTTTAATTTATTTGACAGAGTTATAGACAGAGAGACAGAAAGGTCTTTCTGTTGGTTCACCCCCCAAATGGTCACCACGGCCGGCACTGCGCTGATCTGAAGCCAGGAGCCAGGTGCTTCTTTCTGGTCTCCCACTTGGGTGCAGGGCCCAAGCACTTGGGCCAGCCTCCACTGCCCTCCCAGGCCACAGCAGAGAGCTGGACTGGAAGAGGAGCAACCAAGACTAGAACCGGCGCCTATATAGGATGCCGGCGCCGCAGGCGGAGGATTAACCAAGTGAGCCACCGCGCTGGCCAAAGATTGCCTTTAGAAATACAGATTTTACTGGCGCAAAGTTTTCCTATATACCCAGATGCCTCCTAAAAATGTAGATCTGCAAGTTAACCTTTACAAGAAGAAACAAAAATGGAAATCGCTGAAAGATTTTTTCCAAAGTGAAACCATCATTTGTAAATGTGATTATCTAATTGTCATTTCTAAATGGCCTACGCCATGATGGAAAGTATTTTTTTTTTTCTTACTCAAGTGAAGGCTCTTAAATTTAATTTTTCGTATATCATACAGCAGAACTACCAGTTTGAACCATGAACTGCACTTAAAAAAACCCAGATCTCCATCGCGTGTGTATCTATAAAAAAGCATAGGAATATTAGGAACTCCTATACGGCAGTTACCCAGAATTAACAATTACCACTTCAGGGCAATTCTCTATATTCTCCTACCTCCCTTTATCCTTGTATCCCTGATTGGTAATTTTGATGATGTTTTTCCTCCATTGGTTTAATTTGAAGCAAATCCTAGACATATTTTAAAGAATTTTTGCTGGAAGATATAGCAGATAACACCTGCTATTAAGGCAAAGGAGCAAAATAATCCTCTTGTTCAAATTTTTCTTACCTTTCTTGTGAGAACCAAGAAAAAGCTGAATAGGTTTGAAATCCTATGCAGTAAGTTTTTTGAGAACTAAGAAGGCTTCTTTTAGCAAAAATGCAAGACTAGCTTAGAACCCTATAAATTTGTTGGATTGGAAAATCTTGATAATTTCCCAACTTTGCCTAGCTCTATTCTGCCCTTCTAAAAGAATTAGCTTGTAAATTTGGAACTGGTTAAGAAGGGTTTCTTAGATCTTTGATAAGAACTGGATGTTATTATTGGCAGTGCAGAGAACCTACAGGAGAAATTCTCCAATTTGTATGGTCAATGCTGTAGCAATGGATATTCCAAAATATCACCTGCCAGTTCCAGTTATACCCTTTCTTTGAGCATTACACAAGTTACTACTTCAAAGGGAACCCTGCTGCACTTTTAAATTGGGTCCTGTTGACAATATGCATATTAACATTTAATCTATAATTTGAGTACTAGTCACCAGGCATCTTATTCTAAAACCCTGTCATTCTAAATTCCAGCACTACCCATTCATCATAGCATGCTGGTTCATCAGAATCATTGAGAGAACTACATTAAAAAGCTTACATATTCTCTCGTTTTAAGAAATAAGTCTGTTGAATCTTGGAACATATGAACTGGTAATATTCAACACTGTCAGCAAATCAGCTATAGATAGGACCAAATTATTGCAAAGAGTCCCTCAACATAAATGATACCAGACACCTAAACTTCAAAAATGAAGATTTTATTATTATTTTTTAAAGATTTATTTATTTATTTTAAAGGCAGAGTTACAGGAGAGAGAGGGAGAGAGAGAGAGAGAGAAAGAGAGAGAGAAAGGTCCTCCATCCACTAGTTCACTCCCCAGATGGCTGAAACGGCTGTAGCTGAGCAGATTGGAAGCCAGGAGTCAGGATGCTTCTTCCAGGTCTCCCATGCAGGTGCGGTGGCCCAAGGACTTGGGCCATCTTCCACTGCTTTCCCAGTGAGAGAGAGAGAGAGACAGATAGAAAGGTCTTCCTTTTTCCGTTGGTTCACCCGCAAGTGGCCGCTATGGCTGGTGTGTTGCGGCCGGTGTGCTGCGCCTATCCAAAGCCAGGAGCCAGGTGCATCCTCCTGGTCTCCCATGCGGGTGCAGGGCCCAAGGACCTGGGCCATCCTCCACTGCACTCCCAGGCCACAGCAGAGAATTACTTTAATGTGGAATAGAAAAGCAAACAAAAACCATGTACTTAAACAAACATTGTCTACAAGAGACAAATATTACCAAGACGTCTGGCTATCAGCAATTCCAGTGCTCCTTTTCTAGGTTAAAAAGAGGTATGTCATATTCTGGAGTAAATATTGTTGAATGTTTTATTACAAATGATATAATTGCTTATTACATTTTTTACTTTTTATTTATCCCAGGGTGAGCAGGAAATATTTTGCATTTTCAAGACAAAAATATCAATAAATTTAGTACTAGCATGTGGTAAGAAACGTGTACCTTGTAAGGAAACACTTTCACAGCATATTATTTACTTTCAAAAGAAATATGTCATCTTTATAGATTGCAATAATGGGAACTAGTATGAGGATGTTTTTTCATTAAGATGATCTAAATTGGGTAGTGAGATGCAATTAATTTTTAAAGCTTTATTTTGTTCTTTTGTACTATCCATGATAAGAAAAACTAATACAATTGAAGTACCATTACAAGGATGTGAAGAATGCTTCATGGAATCATGTTTTAAACAAGTGACTTGTGGAACTTAAAAAACTAGGTTTGTAAGCACAGACATTCTCGATTAAAGGAGAAATTTGCATCAACGGAAGGGCGTACACTATGCTATGCTTAAACACTGTCTTCACATTGGGAAGTTTTCTGTTTTGGTTTTGTTTTCTTAACGAAAATGGTGTTTGTTAGCTCCAACATAAACATTCACATAAGAATTTCTTGAGAAAAATAGCTAAGCAAAAAATCCTTCCTTGTACATTTCCTACTAATGCTTCCACAAAGATCATATAGATACTTCACATTATTTATTTAGATACATAAAGAAATTACATTGCATGTCATTGCACAGTTTCCATTTTATTTGATAAATCTATGGCAAAAACATACTGGAATAAAAATTAGGCATTTCTCACCTGAAATCTTTGCAGTTTTCATAGATAAGCTATGTAAAACTTGTGAGAGGAAACGGCATCACAACTAGTCCTGTTTAACAACACAAATTGGAAAAGAAATACATATCTATTTCCTCTCCATATATTTCAGTGGTCAACATTTAACTGTTTTTATGATCCCTAGTCACTGTTTATGGATGGAGTGAGACAATGAAGTTCTGACTTAACTGCTTCCCATTATGGACCCTGGGTTTTGGGTTTTTGTTTGTTTGTTTGTTTCTATTTTTTTTTATATTTTGGAAAAATCACACCTGTTCTTATTTTCAAACAGTAGTGGTAGCAGTTTTAAATCAAACTAATAAAAACTTATCCTAAGTCATTTGTAAAGAATGGTTAACTTTGCTTCCAGTTACATATATGAGTAGCTACCAGACAAGTAACTGCTCTGTTACTGCTACACCAAGGACAAAAAATGTAAAGACAATGTAGTTCATTTAGAGTATTAACATTTCATAGAGCAAAATAGTGAAAGAATTAGAACTGTATCAATTCATGTTACAGAGCTTGAAATTTTAGCCAAAATATTAATATAAAGCTTTTAGCATCATATTAAGACATATAAGCATTTTTATTAAAGAATATTAAAAACATTTTCTTATTTATAATTTAGTACAGTGCATCATCTGTTCTTATGTTAATGGTTTCTACTACATGAGTAATTATTATGTTATAATTCTAAGTCATAACAATTTAATGTAGATATTTGTAAAGATACTTCACTGCAAAATTTTATTCATATGCAACACAAACATCTGTTGATTTAATCTATACTTTGACAAATGCAACATTTTAATGTTGCTGAGTTGTAAAGTTAGCCAAATGGGTTGAAATTAGGAAATTACATTCTTGTATTTATAAAATTACTGTGTTCACTTTGTAAGGTCGTTAGAACCCAATTAAACAACTTCTAAGTACATTAAATATTATCCTATAAAATATTTTTCCCAAGTATGATGCTATCAAGTATTTTTCTTGCTACTTTTAATCAAGACTTTATACAGCATTTCACTGTTCTATTTGTATATCACTATGAAAAAGTTTACCTTCCACCCACTACTACGATATAGTGCTTATGTTTTTAAGGAGGTGGATGGGCTCATTTTAGGAGGATAGACTTTGAAAGAACAGATTGCTTGGGCAATGATATATACTGAAAATCATAATAGCATAATGTACAAATTAATGGATTGTGTTATTTAAAAAGATACTATCCCACATCCCTGCTAAATAAAATTAACTATCACCTTTGATTTAATTATGTCTCCAAGAGGTGGAAATAGCGTGGCAGAAAGAATCTCTTTTAGTCACAAGGCTTAATGTGAGAAAGGTAAATATAGGCTGTATATATCATGCACTACTTATGTTGTGTTTGTTAAACATCTTTGCCTCTTTTGTTAAAAGTTATATTTAATCCTATACCTGAATTGAATATCTAATATCAGAGAACATCTTCTAATGGGATAACTTGTGAAATTTATACCCCAATAAATCAGTTCAATATCTAGGAAGTATACTATCTGAAAAACCAACAAGTTATATTTTGCAGTGTCTGCAATCAGTTTAAATAAGAGGATTCCCCCTTTTAGCTTGCATATTGTTATATTGAAGAAAGAAAATTTATAGAGGAGATTCAGGTCTCATAAATGGAGAAACTGTCATCTGTAGAGCTAATTCATTCCATTAGATTCATTGGTAGTAGCATGGTTAACATTTTTGATTGGCCTTTACTGATGGAAAAACAACTGAAGTACTAATGAAAACATTAAAAACCTCCTTTGAGTTGTAGTATTTTAAAATGGATCATTCATGGCTAGAAAAGAAAAAAGAAAAAAATGTTATTTCACAACTAGTTCATAGTTAGTTTCAAATATTGCAGTTGTATGTATACAGTTATGGAAAATTGTTTAAATAAGTATATGTAAAAGCAAAGAATTCATTATACTTTGTGGTTCTATTTTATATGTATATTTGATGAAACAATGAATTATCTATCTGACATTAGTCAAGGTATATGTTTCAAATGATTTTAAGGAGGTAAAGATGACTGAGTACTGTTCCTCCTTAGTGTCATATTTAGAGATTAAATTTACGCCATAACATCTTGGTTAATAAATATAGATCTATCATCTCTGATTTTAAACACATTGTGAACTTGCTGCTAGTCTCTATAGCTACTTTCATGTTTTCTGCTGCACATTTTGAAAGGAGAAACAGTAATGAGTACTATTCTGTAGATAATTTATTTGATAGATCCTCACATGGTTGCCACTTCTGGGCACATATGGTTAGTAGCAGCAATTGTTTCTAAAACTTAACTTTCAGCATCAAATTCTCTCTCAAAATTTAAATCCTATGCTGAATGTCTCTTGCTTCTTTTTTTTTTTTTTTTTTTTTTTTTTTTTTTACAGGCAGAGTGGACAGTGAGAGAGAGAGACAGAGAGAAAGGTCTTCCTTTGCCGTTGGTTCACCCTCCAATGGCCGCCGCGGCCGGCGCGCTGCGGCCGGCGCACCGCGCCGATCCGGTGGCAGGAGCCAGGAGCCAGGTGCTTTTCCTGGTCTCCCATGCGGTGCAGGGGCCCAAGCACCTGGGCCATCCTCCACTGCACTCCCTGGCCACAGCAGAGGGCTGGCCTGGAAGGGGGGCAACCGGGACAGAATCCGGTGCCCCGACCGGGACTAGAACCCGGTGTGCCGGCGCCGCTAGGCGGAGGATTAGCCTAGTGAGCTGCGGCGCCGGCCTGTCTCTTGCTTCTTATCTGTTTTTTGTAGCATCAAAATGCTACAAAAAATGTAGATGAATTTATCAATTGATTCTCAACTAATTGATGACCTAAGAAAATAATATACTTACAGGCTGAAATTACAGAGTCCCTTTATTTGGGGGGGGGTTACTAAATACTGATTGCTTCTAATACTTCAGGAATTATGGATTGATTGTAGTTAAAGAAAAACTTCAGAGCTAAACCTTCCAGAATTTTTGTTTACTTGAATATTTCAGCTTGTGTGACCAAATGATATTTTTAAAGTTACTTAATAGACAATGTTATTAACTACACAGCTGAAGTGTAATGTTAAGATTTCTTCAGAAAGTTCTGCAGACTACTTTGATATAAGAAGTCTTCCAAAAGTTCATGTAAAGTGTGTATAAAAATTATGCATGGATTTCAAAATTGTTTACATGAAAATAAACTTATCTTTGAATTTCTTTATATTTGTTATTTATCCATTGCTCATCATGGTAAACTTAAGAATTTTATTATTTTTATTGATGTGTTAGAATCATGTGCATAAAGTGCACACTACAAGTATTCAACTAAACAAATTTTTCCAAATCGAGCACATAAACATAACCATCACCTAGGTCAATAAACATAACATTATTATGTACCAGAATGCCTCCTTATATTCCCTGGCAATCAATATCCACCTGCCTTTCAAGGATAACCACTTCTTGGCTTTAATAACCAAGTATTAGTTTTGTGTGCTTTTTGTAAGAAGCTTGACGTGGAGAATTTTAATATAACAAAACAAAGTTTCTCAGGTTCACAATGTTTTAAGTCAGATTCTCTTTTGTTTGACAGCTGGGATTCTCAATCACATTCTTGTGATCACTAACAGTGTATTACTATTATAATCTCTTGTAGTATCAGGAGTGTATGATTAAGGGCAAAAAAACCAAGAGCATTCTGTTGTGTTAGCGGAACTTCTCAACATCAGCACTATTGACACCTTAGGCTGGACAATTCTTCATTGTGGAGGACTGTCCTGCACCCACTAAATGCCAATGATACCCACAACTCCTCACTGCTTATGAAAACCAAAATTATCTCCAAACTTTGCTAAATATCTCCTATGGTGCAAAATTGCCTTCAGATAGAACTACTGTGCTAGAGAATATGAAAGAACTTCCAAAAGTTCATGGAAAATGGAATTTAAAGATAAATTTATTTCAGTATTTAAAAATTTGAAATACATGAATGTGAGGGGTCCTCAGAAAGTTCATGGAAACATGTGTTCTGAAAAAATGGCATGAATTTAAGTATTTTGGAACATCAAAAATGTGTTTTAATTTTTTCTTTCCACGAACTTTTTGAAGCTCCCTAGTATTCATTTCTTCTTGGGTGATCAAATGACAAAAAAAAAAAACAAAAAACTCATTTATCTGTATTCTTATGTGCACTTCTTGCATATATACTGTATTTCAATAAAATGTTAAAAAAAAGAAGAGAGTTTTCATCATCAGCCTCCTTAGCAATGAATTGGGCTACTTAGTCATCTTGGAAGATACTACGAGAGATAGATATTAGAGTGCATGGTTTATAAAGGACTCTTCAGCAACCTCACTGTAAACTGTGGGAACTAACACTGGTGGATCTTAGACATAACACCTCTCTTCTTTCCAAATCCTAAAATAATTATCTATAGAAATCAGTACCACATTCGAGAGTATCAGACAGTCTATTAAAACATCCTTTACTCCTCCTCATAATTATCTATGTGTTTGCTACTTGCTTTAGAAAAACAAATTTAAAAAAGAATGTAATAAGTTCAACAACTCCTGAAATATGAAAGAAAAGAATATTATCATGCTGTTAATGTTAGTTTTCTTCCTATTCAGGGTAAAAAATAATAATCACATGTAATTTATTATAGTTTAATCAATTATATGATCCTATCCATGACTATTCACAGTTTTTTAATTCCAAATACATATCAGTAATAGAAATATGGAAAGTTAGAAGAGAAAAAAGGAATCAACTTTGATATTTTAACTCAAGTTTTAAAGACAATAAAGACATGGTCAAAATGGGGCTAGAAATGCCCAAGTAAACTTACACAAGTCCATTTGTCTTCTGTTTTCTCAATCACAATAGTCTGTGTGTCACTACCTGGTGGTATATATTCATAGTCATCATACAGGAGCCCCAGGATTGGATATTGTGTTCTGTACCTATACACAAGAAAAGAGTTAATTATAGGCTGTGTGAGAAAATAACTCTCATTCAGTTTTAGTCACTCCTTATTTGATTCCCTTCATTAAGCTCTCTTGACTCAATGATTTTTAATTGTTTCTAAAAAGAAAATCACTTATGAATGAACAAAGATTCACTACCAATGAACACTGGCAGCAAGGAACAGTATTCCCAGAGAAGGGAAGCAAATTATAAGAGCCTCACAAGTGTCTTAGTCACTGCGTAGAGAGATTTAGTTGGTCACAGGTTAGGAAAAAGGAAACCAAACAAATCCCAGCAATCTTACCTAGTTGAGAGTTTAGAGTAAAAATAGACCAAGGCAATCGGAATTTGTGGGTCCCAGTATCAGATATCAGAGAACTATGCAGATGGAGAGAAGTGATGAGACATGTAGAAGTTTCCTCATGAGTCTCTGGGTGAGCACTAATCAGTGTATGCATGTGAACAATCTACCAAGTTCAGGGAAAGAACCGCTAGAAAGAAGCAGACCAGCAATCTCTTGGTGTCATACAGGGATGTTAATATTTTGTGTTGAACTAACCAGAATCTTAAGACCTCCTGATATAAGGGGCATCAGAAAAGAAGACAGAGAAGAGTATACTACATCAGCGGTGGGATGAAATTAGTCTTGGATGGCAGGTTTAAGACAAGTCTTGAATTTATTAAAATGAATCCAAGTAAGTTAAATTCATCTCAGATCAAACTTCCATTTTAAGTAATGTCCCCAGTACAGTATTAAATAATGTAAAATCACAATATGACATCCCATAAGAAATCAGTAGTCATTCAATGAAGCAGAAACATATGAGTAACAATGACTAGAAGAATAAATTAGTGATAATAAATAAAGACATGACAGATATACTAGATAAACATAAAATATATGGTCTGTACTCAAAGAGTTAGAAGCAAACAGAAGCACAGGGAGAAGAGAAATAGGGATATAAGAAAGATCCCAGCACTGGCATTGTGGCACAGCAGGTAAAGCCACTGCCTGTGATGCTGGCATCCCATACTGGCACCGGTTCATGTCTTGGTTGCTCCACTTCTGATCTAGCTCCTTGCTAGGAAAGGCAGTGGAAGATGGCCAAAGTGATTGCATCCCTACCACCTATGTGGGAGACCAGGATGCTTTTCCTAGCTCATGGCTTTCACTGGCCTGACTTTGGCCTCACCCAGCCCTGGCTGTTGTGACTATCTGTGGAGAAAACCAGCGAATGGAAGACCTCTCTCTTTGTCTCTCCTTCCCTCTCTGAAATTGAGTTTTGTATAAATAAGTCTTTAAAAAAAAAGATCCCCACTGGAATATTGAACTTATGAAGATGAAAATTACAGTGGATGCGATTAACATTAGTTAAGGCACTACAGAAGAAAAAAAGTAGTATTTTAAAAAAATTGCCCAAAATAAAGAAAAATGTACACAGAATGAGTTATCTGTGGAAAATATCAGGTGCCAATATATTTATATATTAAAGTCCTGCAGGATTGGCAGAAGACAAAAAATAATTGAGTAGTGATCAAATTATTTCCAAATTTGATGAAAAACTATAAGCATACAAACCAAAGAAGCTAATGCAACCTAAGGAAGAGGACATATGGGGAAAATCACACAGAGTCACACTGTTATCAAGTTGCTGAAAATCAATGTTAGAGAATGAAAAAGAGCCAGAGCATTTAGCCTAGTGGTTAAGATTCTAGTTAAGATGCTCATGTCCCATATTGGAGTGCCTGGGTTCAATACCCCTCTCCTCTCCCCTTCTCTTCCCTCATCACTTCTTCCCTCCTTCCTCCCCTCCCCTTTTTTCTCCCCTCTCTCCTTGCCTCACCCCTCCTCCTCTCCCCTCCCATCTCTTCCTCCCCCCTTCCCCCTCCCCTCCCCTCCCCTCTCCTCCTCTCTCTCTCCTGCCCACTCTCCCCCCAAAAGATAAACAGCCAGAGAAAAAAGAACGGGAATCAAAGAAGAAAAATGATAAGATTAATAGCAAACTTCTGTCAGAAACAAAGTCAGAAGACAGTGGTGTGACATCTTTAAAAACATATACTTTATTTTTTATTTAGAGGCAGAGAGGGAGGGAGGGAGAGAGAGAGAGAATAGAGAGCTCCCATCTGCCAGCTTGTTTCCCCAAATGCCTGCAGCTGACAATGAACCAAAGCTTGCGAGCCAGGAATTGGGAACTCAGTCAAGGTTACCCACATGGGTGGTAGGAACCCAGCTACTTGAGTTATCATCATTGTCTCCGAAGTGTGTACATTAGCAGGAAGCTGGAGTCCAGAGCTGGAGCTGGGTGTTGAACCCAGGCATTCTGATGTGGATGCATGCATCCTAACTGACGTCGTCACCACTAGGGTAAACACCCACTCCTGCAGTGACATCTATAAAGTTCCTCTAAAACCTATCAGCTTTCTATCCTATACGCCCCAAAACACAGCATTCTTCCCTTAAACACAGTTTCAGTTGTCAATGGTCAGCCACAGTCCGAATATATTACATGGACAGTCCCAGAGATAGTTCATGTGTTTTAAACTGTGCACTGTTTTGAGGAGAATGATGAAATTTTGCTCCATCCCATTCCATCCTGTCCAGGAGATGAATCATTCCTTTGTACAGTGTATCCATGCTGAGTATACTACCTGCCTGTTAGCCACTAGTAGTAGCAGTCTCAGTTATCAGGTTGACTTGTGTTCAAGTAACTTACTTTCTTTAATAATGATCCAAAAGTGCAAGACTAGTAGTGGTGATGAAAATTCAGATATGCCAAAGATAAGATGTAAAGAGCCTGTTTCCTTTAAATGAAAAGGTAAAAGCTTTCAACCTAATCGGGGAAGAAAAAAATCTATGCAGTGGTTTCCAAGTCCTACAGTAAGAAGAAAAAGGAAAATATACTCTGGGAAGTTTTAGGCATCCACTGGAGGTCTTGGGATTTATCCCCCTGTTGGAGAGGAGTACTGTAGCTCTGAGCAGTAAAGGCAAGATAAAGACTGTTTTCAGGTTTAAAAATCAAAGAGAAGTCTTCCCCATAAGATCAGTACGAAAAGAAATGTTAAAAGAAGAGGGAAAATTATACCAGATACAAATTTGGTTCTGAGCAAAAGTAGCAATAATACCAGAAAAGATAAGTATGTAGGTAAATTTAAGACATTGTTTCCATTAATTGTTAATGTTTCTTCAAAAGAATATTGTTGAACACAAGAATAAAAAGTGTTCACAGTATATATAAAAGTAAATATATATGATAAAAATAGTAAAAAGATCATGAAAGGGAAATGGATGTTTATGATCATAAAGTCATTATGCTACATGGGATGAAACTATGTTATTATCTGAAGCTGGACTGTGATAAGTTAAAGAATAGTACTACAAGCTCTATGACAATAATAAAGAAGTATAACGGGGTCGGCGCTGTGGTGCAACAGGTTAACGCCCTGGCCTGAAGCACTGGCATCCCATATGGGCGCGGGTTCTAGTCCCGGCTGCTCCTTTTCCTATCCAGCTCTCTGCTATGGCTTGGGAAAACAATAGAAGATGGCCCAAGTTCTTGGGCCCCTGCAGCTGTGTAGGAGACCCAGAGGTAGCTCCTGGTTCCTGGCTTCGGATTGGCGCAGCTCCAGCCATTGCGGCCAACTGGGGAGTGAACCAGTGGATGGAAGACCTCTCTCTGCTTCTCCTTTCTCTGTGTAACTCTGACTTTCAAATAAATAAATAAATCTTTTGTTTAAAAAGGAGTATAACTCCAGTCATGAGTTTCCAAGGCTATGGAAGCCCCTTGAGTTCTCCAACTCTTATCTTGTTTAGACAAGGTCATAGTCAAAGTGGAGGTTCTCTCCTCCCTTCAGAGAAAGGCACCTCCCTCTTTGAAGACCTGTTCTTTCCACTGGGATCTCACTCACAGAGATCTTTTTGCCAGAGTGCCTTGGCTTTCCATGCCTGAAATACTCTCATGGGCTTTTCAGCCAGATCCGAGTGCCTTTAGGGCTGATTCCGAGGCCAGAGTGCTATTTAGGACATCCGCCATTCTATGAGTCTGCTGAGTATCTCACTTCCCATGTTGGATCACTCTCCCCTTTATTTATTCTATCGGTTAGTGTTAGCTCATGACTGGAGCATAGGGAGATTATTGATGCCATAAACAGGAGTGTCAATTTGTAAAGTCAACAACAGGAGTCACTGTGCACTTACTCCTCATGTAGGATCTCTGTCCTTAATGTGCTGTACACTGAGGCTTAATGCTATAACGAGTACTCAAACAGTATATTTCACTTTGTGTTTCTATGGGGGTGCAAACGATTGAAATCTTTACTTAATGTACACTAAACTGATCTTCTGTAAAAAAAAAAAAAAAAGAAATTATCAATTCCCAACTTGACTCTCACTGGGATTAAACATGACAATAGGTCTGATCTGATTTCATCATGATTTAAAAAAAAAATCATCTATTATTTTTCACTTTATGTTTCTGTGTGGGAACAAACTGTTGAAATCCTTACTTAAAGTATACTAAGCTGATCTTCTGTATATTAAGATAATCGAAAATGAATCTTGATGTGAATGGAAGGGGAGAGGGAGTGGGAAAGGGGAGGGTTGTGGGTGGGAGGGACGGTATGGGGGGGAAAGCCATTGTAACCCATGAGTCGTACTTTGGAAATTTATATTCATTAAATAAAAGATAAAAAAAAAAGGAGTATAACTAATAAGCAAAGTGCAAACATGGAAAAATAAACTAAGAAAGGAAAAAAGAAAATGTGGGACAAATAGAAAACAAATTCAAATCTACGCATAAAGACAATCACCTAAACTGTTCCAGAAAATATCTCATATCTCAACTCGTTCTATGAAGTCATCATTTGTGATGACAGTCAGTTGCATTTTAAAAAAGAAATATATAGACCAATATCCTTAATTAATATAGCCATCAAATAGTAACAAAATTTTAGTAAATTGAATCCAAAAATATATAAATGTATACTACATTACAATCTA